TTGAAACCAGGTACCTTCATCAGAAAAATGCATCAGTCTCTGCAAACAAGATACACAGAGCACATCATTCAACATAGCCTTCCTCAAAAGCTGTTGCTCCAGCCTGAGCCACCTCTGGACCTCGATCAGTGTCAAGAAACTTGGTTAAAGAAGGAAGAACGTGTAAGAAACACCAAATCGAAATTCTTTTCTGTTCCTCAGAGAATGCCGGTTCCACAAAAAAAAGAAAAGAATGTTCCACCAAGATAACCCAAAAAGTCAGAAACGGCCAATTCCTGAGCCAATTCAGCTTCCTGCAGAGAAAAGGATCCACAAAGATGTGTCAAAAAGCCAGGAACAGTTCAGTCCTGAGCCAATTAAGCTTCCTGCAGAGGCACTCTCTGTAGAGGAAGAGGTAATTAAATTAGTACAACAAATGAAACTATTTATTGACTATATTCAGCTAACTTAAAATTAACTGTATGAAGTGTCTGACATTCACAGATTGACATGTTATGGTCAAAACCGCACAATGAACTGCTTGTAGCCATTGTGAAGTCTGAGGATCACAATCTGGAGTTCCTGTTACATCACGAGAAGTTCCTAACACTGAAGCCGCATGACTGGTTATTTGGAGGGGTACACACCCAGATAGCAAACTGACATTGAATCAACGTAGAAACGTGACATCGAAACAACGTTGATCTGACATTGTTTTGCTCATCGAATTAACGTTGAACCAACGTCAGACGCGTCATTCTTTCAAAACTAACGGAAAATCAACTTGAAATCAACGCGTTGTTTCAACGTTATGAAAGCAAACCAATTTTCGATTTTCATTTAGCTTTGAAGAATGCTGCGTCTGACGTTGGTTCAACGTTAATTCGATGAGCAAAATCAACGTTGTTTCAATGTCATGAGAGACGTCGTTTCCACGTTGATTCAATGTCAGTTTGCTATCTGGGCAGATCATTACAAAAATAGCTAGTTAAGAAAAAAATTGTACTATATATACATTTATAATCTATAAACAATGTTGTACCGAAGAAAAGTAAATGCCAGACACAATTTTTTTTCCCTCAATGTATGTACTAGTTTAAATAAATTGATTAATTGCAATGATTTTTCTTTTTTCCCCAGACGATCGAGTGCTATATAAGAGCTGTACTTAATGCAAAGGGTGCAAATATATACCAGCTGAGCCATTACACCACAGGTGTCATTTTAAATTGCACAGAAGACCAGGTCATACGACAAGGTTTGAAAAAAGTGAGTGCAACTACTTATGATTCTGCAGTTTTATATGTAGGCCTTCATGCATTTTTACAGTACACAATACGTTTATTATTTATAGGTCAACTTTGAGCAATATGATGGGGTCATCTCTGTGGTAAATACCAGACACGTCCACTGGAGGTTTGTGGTAAGTACAAATATATTGTAAGTAAAAAAAAAAAAAAAATACTGTGTTGTGTGACTAGATAACCATTGATATACCCATATTCACCTTTTTGCAGTAATTGAATGAGTAATTATTAATTAAACCTTTTTTTATGTTTAGTATCTACATGCTACAAGCATTTTCATACTTGACCCTCAACGTGGTAGTAATGCAATTAAACTTTCCACACAAGCATGCAAAAATTTGGGTATGTTATGTTAAACTTTTTCGATCTACAACACTAATATTGGAATATTAGCACAACCCCACACACTGTATTTTTTCCTACAACAGGGAGTATTTCAGGAAGAGAGGAAACCAGCATGGAAGAAAAGACTGGGTGGACACTATGTGGAAGCCTGGGATAATACACCATTCGTTCCAGGAGGATGCTTTCAGCTGTGGTGTCTTTGTGATGGAGGTAAATGGAGGGAATACTACTACTACATAAACACTGTTGTGACATTTTCCCATATGAGACTACTAATGTTCTCCGTTCTAAATGGCCAAGCAGGTGGTGCAACAATTTCCGGAAATTCCTGAGAGCATCAATATAACACCCAGCGAAGAGGAGATGCGCCACACCAGGAAAAATGTTGCCAAAACAATTTTGCAGGCATCAGGTATTGGCAAACTATTTTGTAAGAACGGTTTATTTCCAGAGACAGAGTGATGGAGTATAATTATGTACACTATCACAATTGCAGTGTCGAGAGATGAATATTGCTCTGTATGTGGACAAAAAGACACCAAGGAAAAAAAAGGCGAAAAGGACCAAACAGAGGAGCTTTGCACCTGGGTATTCTTTATGTCATTATTGCATATTTGTTGAAAGTGAAAAGAAATTGAAGAGAAAATTAGTTTTCACAAATACATTTCATAATTACAACAGTTTTGGAATAAATGTAACAATGTTTTATTTTTCTTCCAGGTTCAATGTGAAATATGCCAGAGGTGGTTTCACATCCAGTGCCTCGAAATCAATCTGCCACCAGCAGAAGAACCATGGTTTGTGTTTATAAGGAGCTCATGCTAAAATTGTGTTTGTATTTGATGAAGCTGAAAAAATACACATGTATATATATTTTCTTGCTTACGTATTATTAATTTGTATTATTAATTTTTCTTATGCTTTTTCATTTAACCATTGAATCATTTGTATATTAAATTTCATTTAACCAAATCTGATCAGGGTCAATGTGTTTGTCATTAGTATCAATTAGATGTGTTTACCATTATTATCATTTGAAATGTATGCTCAGAGGTGGTAAGAGTACTGAAAATCTCTGAAAGTATCTACTGAAATCTATTGAAAGTACAAGTAGTTGCTAAAATAATACTTAATTACTAGCAAAAGTAGGCTACTGGTGTTAAAAATATTCTTAAGTAAAAGTACAAGTACCCCTCTTACTGTAAAAATTGCGGTTTCAATGGGAACATTTTTGTCCAAAGGGTGCTGATAGGGAGTATTTTGTGTACCTAATGCAAAATTATTATTATTTTTTTTTTTTTAAGAAAATGGCGGTGAAATAGTAAAATTCTATATAAATACACTCCTGTGCCAAATTAGCATTAACACAGGTAAAGTGATAAAAAAAAAAAAATGAAAAGGACAAAAATGTCCATAAGGATGCACAAGAGTTAATGCAGCTTGTAGTTCTCATTAGTTATGTAGACCTACTTGTGTGTGTAACCCAGCATTACTCGGTCAAAAATGAGCTGGGACTTTCAGATCTTTTAGCGCTTTTTGGGGGTTTAATTCTGTTTGATTAACCACCGGGTAAAGGCAGTGCTCTGTACTTTTGGTACTTGTGTGAAGTAAAATAAAAGTGTTTAGTTTTTTACTTTTAGTTTTTTAGCATTTAGTTTTTCTCCCTGGTACCTGGTCAGGGCCTCCCAGAGTTTCCCCAATACCTGTCCTGGAGGATGTGAGGCTGTGCACTGTGTGCAGGGTTTAAGGACTGGTGATGGTAGCAGGACTGGCCCCAGTCACCTACCGTCACTCTCTCTTCAAATAAATGCTGGACAGGCTGCAGGACAAAGCAGAACACCACTCCTTCCTCTGGCACCATAAACGGGCCTTGTTGTCACTTTCAGATATGTATGGCTTATGTTAAGCCACATCTTTGTGGATTTTGTGGCACTACTTTTGTGGAATTGGATGATGTCAGCTTATGACTTTAATTACAAATGTACATCATATTGTACAACGGTACAGTGAAGCATGGCTCTGCATTGCAACTCTTTCACTTGCACACACAACCAACACCACACTTTATGTAAAAAAGACAGGAGAGCATTATTTATTATCTTTGACTTCAGTAAAGCAGATGTAAAACACTACAAGGGGAATGTGTTGCTCTCAGGAGGAGGCTGTATTTGCACAATGACATCCTGGCTCTGGCTAAATCTACATCTGTCTGCTGCAGAGGCTAACCACAACCTGGAAGAGGAACTATATAAATGTATCAAAGCTCTGCATTACAACTCTTTCACTAGCATATGGCCTAACCTGTTTTACAAGCATAGTGGGTGAGTGAAGACTAAAACCCACTGTAAATGTTAAAAGGTTATATTATACTTTTATACATTTATATAGTTCCTCCTCCAGATTGTGGTTATTATAGCCTCTGCAGGAGACAGATGTAGATTTAGCCAGAGCCAGGATGTCATTGTGCGAATACAGCCTCCAGAGCAACACATTCCCCTTGTAGTGTTTTACATCTGCTTTACTGAAGTTAAAGATAATAAATATGCTCTCCAATCTTTTTTACATAAAGTGTGGTGTTGGTTGTGTGTGCAAGTGAAAGAGTAGCAATGCAGAGCCATGCTTCACTGTACCACTGTACATTATGATGTACATTTGTAATTACACTTTTTCTCGATTGTTTACACACATTTCTTGCAAGCGTGCCTCATACTCTCAGAACTCTACACACAAATCTAAAAACACACACACAATGGGCAAAACCCCTTAATTCTAGTGCAAAATTAAACTTTACATTCAAAACAATGTTATATATTCTCAAAATGTTATTTTGTTTTCAAATGACACACACAAACCATCATATGAATAGACATATATAAGAACCAGTTGAACACTGATGTGCTCAATGTAAAATACTATGATCAATGGAAAACACTTCTTCTCCATTCATCATAATGACTTAGGCCTTTTTTTTGTTCAGTGTTACACTTACAGACATTACATACATAAGTGTGTTGTAAAATACTTGAGAATATTGTTTTTATACCCAGAACACACAAATACACGGTAACAAATATATTTTATCTTTCCCACAAAAACAAAGGGAGATAGATCCCACATTTTGTACATCCCAGCAACACAAATTTGCACATACAGTGGTCTACACACAGTGGTCAACACAACAGAAAAATGTACTGTATACAGTTACAGTAAAAAAACAAATACAGTTTTTTCTGAATGCTTAAGCGCTAATCGTGATTCTTGTAGCACAATTTCTAAAACTATTAATACGTATAGCAAAACCACTCACTGAGTTTGCAAAACTGTAGGCACAATTCACTGCACAACACTATTTTTGCAGAACTTTAAACACAACTCACTGCTTACACTCAATTACCAAATTTCCAACACACTTCTAGCAAAATTATACACATGTATGGCTATCATTAACGCTATTTTGCCAACTGTCTGGCTCACTTTCACATTTGAAAACTGTTTTAGAAAATTAGTTCACTTTGCAATCAGCCTAAGCACTATAAATAAGCCACAGGTAAGCTGTCTGTGTGGAGTACAATGGAAGGAGCAGTAAGAGTGAGAAGAGTGAGAATCAGAGGAGGCCGAGGGAGAGGACGTGGAGGTGAAGAAGTTGGAGGAAGGAGCTAGAAGAGGACAAGGAGGCAGAGGGAGAGGATGTGGAGTTGAAGAGCATACCCGATATGTCATCATATGGGACAATGTTAGTCCGCAACTGGTTTACAGACCACACATTTTTCATGGCACTCAACCTCCCTCCATACTCTCCATTCTTACGTAAATCCCATTGAGGAGTTCTGGAAAGTGTACGACCGTCATCCTCATCAACAGGTAGCCCTTTTACAGGCAATGGAGGAGGCATGTAGAGATATTGACCAGGCATCATGTCAGGCCTGGATAAGGCATTCAAGGACATATTTTCCCTGGTGCCTTGGACTGGAGGATATTGCATGTGATGTCGACGTAATTTTGCAGCCGAACCCAGAAAGACGACATGATGTAGGCTGATTTTTTTTTTTTTTTGTAAAATTACTATTTTGTGTTCTGACTTTGTCTTGGTTTTTATGAGTGTGAATAAACACCAATACTTGAAGTTTGTATCCTTGTATGTTTACATGACACTATGACAAAAGTATGACCTCAAATTGACATCTGTACACAGAGACAGCAAAAGCCAGATGTGTTTTGTATTCATACCATCAGTGTGTAGTTGGCACATTGTGTGCTTAGTATTTGATGGCTTGTGTTTACTGTTTGATACGAAAACACAATTTTTCCGAAGGTGTGAAGAGTTAATCTAGCTGTGTTTGCTTTTGCAAGAGAACTACAATGTTTTGATAATTGGGTGAAAGGTTTTCTTATTTGTGTGTAGAGTTTTGCAAAACTAGCCAATAGTTACAAAAAATGTGCTTACAGTTTTTTCTGAATGCTTAGGCGCTAATCGTGATTCTTGTAGCACAATTTCTAAAACTATTACAGTTTTTTCTGAATGCTTAGGCGCTAATCGTGATTCTTGTAGCACAATTTCTAAAACTATTAATACGTATGGCAAAACCACTCACTGAGTTTGCAAAACTAAAAGCACAAAAACTGCTTTGCACTCAATTTGCAATTTTGTAACACACACTTTGCAAAACTGTAGGCACAATTCACTGCACAACACTCTTTTTGCAGAACTTTAAACACAACTAGCAAAATTATACACATGTATGGCTATCATTAACACTATTTTGCCAACTGTCTGGCTCACTTTCACATGTGAAAACTGTTTTAGAAAATTAGTTAACTTTGCAATCAGCCTAAGCACTATAAATAAGTCACAGGTACGCTGTCTGTGTGGAGTACAATGGAAGGAGCAGTAAGAGTGAGAAGAGTGAGAATCAGAGGAGGCCGGGGGAGAGGACATGGAGGTGAAGAAGTTGGAGGAAAAGGACGTGGAGGTGAAGAAGTTGGAGGAAGGAGCTAGAAGAGGACAAGGAGGCAGAGGGAGAGGATGTGGAGTTGAAGAGCATACCCGATATGTCATCATATGGGACAATGTTAGTTTCCATAGGGCTGCTTTGGTCCGCAACTGGTTTACAGACCACACATTCTTCATGGCACTCAACCTCCCTCCATACTCTCCATTCTTACGTAAATCCCATTGAGGAGTTCTGGAAAGTGTACGACCGTCATCCTCATCAACAGGTAGCACTTTTACAGGCAATGGAGGAGGCATGTGGAGATATTGACCAGGCATCATGTCAGGCCTGGATAAGGCATTCAAGGAGATATTTTCCCCGGTGCCTTGGACTGGAGGATATTGCATGCGATGTGTGGACGGAATTTTGCGGCCGAACCCAGAAAGACGACATGATGTAGGCTGATTGTTTTTTTGTTTTTTTTTTTTTTTGGGTTTTTTTTTTGCAAAATTACTCTTTTGTGTTCTGACTTTGTCTTGGTTTTTATGAGTGTGAATAAACACCAATACTTGAAGTTTGTATCCTTGTATGTTTACATGACACTATGACAAAAGTATGACCTCAAATTGACATCTGTAAACAGAGACAGCAAAAGCCAGATGTGTTTTGCATTCATACCATCAGTGTGTAGTTGGCACATTGTGTGCTTAGTAGATGATGGCTTGTGTTTACTGTTTGATACAAAAACACAATTTTTACGAAGGTGTGAAGAGTTAATCTAGCTGTGTTTGATTTTGCAAGAGAACTACAATGTTTTGATAATTGGGTGAAAGGTTTTCTTATTTGTGTGTAGAGTTTTGCAAAACTAGCCAATAGTTACAAAAAATGTGCTTAAGCAATCAGAAAAAACTGTAAGCAATCAGAAAAAACTGTAAATAAATATGCTGCATCCTCTCTTCTGTTTCAGTCTTGTATGCTAAAGCTCTGATTGCTAATTGTAAAACTGTGTGACATGTGTTTACCCATATGACGAGTCAGTGTGAATATTTGAATGGCAGTGTTTTCCTCGTGAAAACAAGAGATTTTCTGGATGAAAATTGTGCCAAATGCAGAGAATTTGTGTGTAGTGTTTTGAAAAAAGTGTGTTGTAGAACTGCAATTTAAGTGTAAAGCAGGAATTGTGCTTGTAGTTTAGCAGAATTGGTTCAGGGGGTTGGTGAATGAGTTACATGTTGTGGTCATTGTGTCTCAAGTACCAGAATTTGTGTGTAAACAATTGAGAAAAACTGTAAAGTCATAAGCTGACATCATCCAATTCCACAAAAGTAGTGCCACAAAATCCACAAACATGTGGCATCAAGGCCCTTTTATGGTGCCAGAGGAAGGAGTGGTGTTCTGCTTTGTCCTGCAGCCTGTCCAGCATTTATTTGAAGAGAGAGTGACGGTAGGTGACTGGGGCCAGTCCTGCTACCATCACCAGTCCTTAAACCCTGCACACAGTGCACAGCCTCACATCCTCCAGGACAGGTATTGGGGAAACTCTGGGAGGCCCTGACCAGGTACCAGGGAGAAAAACTAAATGCTAAAAAACTAAAAGTAAAAAACTAAACACTTTTATTTTACTTTACACAAGTACCAAAACAAGTACAGAGCTGCCTTTACCCGGTGGTTTACCAAAACAGAATTAAACCCTCAAAAAGCGCTAAAAGATCTGAAAGTCCAACGCATTCTCATCCTTTAACGTCATATAGAACGCTATATGCAAAAACAGCGCTATACTACGCACATGGCACCCATTATCGTTAATATAACACGCGCTGTGAGGGCTAAGTTTAGGTGTGGGGTAGGGTGTGCGTGTCATATTCACGCTAAAGGATTTATAACGTCTTGGGTTCGCATGTTATATTAACGATAAAGGGTGCCATGTGCGTAGTATAGCGCTGTTTTTGCATATAGCGTTCTATATGACGTTAAAGGATGAGAACGGGCTGGAAAGTCCCAGCTCATTTTTGACCGAGTGGGTTTCACACACAAGTAGGTCTACGTAACTAATGAGAACTACAAGATGCATTAACCCTTGTGCATCCTTATGGACATTTTTGTCCTTTTCAGTTTTTTTTATCACTTTACCTGTGTTAATGCTAATTTGGCACAGATGTGTATTTTTATGAAATTTTACTATTTCACCGCCCTTTTCTTCAAAAAATAATAATAATTTTGCATTAGGTACAAAAATACTCCCTATCAGCGCCTCTTGGACAACAATGTCCCCATTGAAACCCCAATTTTTAATCCCAGGGCCATTTAACTATAAAATGATGCAATCTTTGTTAAGATATTTTCTTTGTTTTAGAAAATACTTTGTATAAACAAAGTAAATCTTTGTTTATTTTCTGTTGGCAAGGCTCCGAAATTTTTATTTTTACTTTTTTTTTTTTTTACCAGATGGTGCCAGTTGTCCAGGTTTGGCCTATAAAACAAATATTGCTTTATTCCTGTTTTCTGCTTATTAACAATAATTGTGTGGGTGGATGTCAGAGTGTGGTTTGTATGTGTGTAATACATTTTTTTGTGTGTGTATGTGTTTGTGTACTTGTAATATTTGAGAGAGAAAAACTCATTTGCAAATCTAAAATCCAATCACTGTGTGCACCAGTGGAGTTTTGCTGGCTCCCAATGGGGAAAATCTGTTACTGCACCCAAACAAACTCTTACCGAAAGCTCATTTTTTTGAGATAGGCCTATCCAACTCAAATTTGGAACACAACCTATTCTGATGCATGGCTTTGATTTTCTTGCAGTTTTAGAGTTCAACCTGATTTATAAAATATATATTTTATATTCCGATTAGTAAAGCACTGCTGGCACTGCCGAAAAACTGCTGGAAGCTATTGTAATGAAAATTAATAGAACCTTTGTATTCTCAGTTTATAATGCTGGCTGAGTGAATCAAGCAACTATAATATTTAAATCCATCATTTAAACATAACCATCATGACCTGGGCTGTGTTTCCCAAAAGCATTTTAAGCCTAACCTGATCATAGAACAATTGCAACCAAAAGTCTGTACGATCAAATTTGGCTTTCAGGAAACACAGTCCATGTCATGGCTTCTCTTGCAGTAACACATGTGCTGTGTAAACACAGAGTTAGAGCAGCCAGAGAAAAAGTAATGGTAAAAAGCAAAGGGTCAAAATGGTGACATGAAACGAAACATTCCATAAAACATTACAATCTAAACTTCTGTTCAATACAAATAAGAACGTGTGTAGATGTATATGTAGCAAATGCAACATATAATAATATACATAAAATGTATTAAAGGGGGCCGAAGGCCAATTTAGCTCAAAGGGAAATGATTCATTGATTTGCAATGAATCTATGGAACCGAATCACTGAACCGAGAAAACGACTCGTTTAGAGTTCATTTGAACGGGCCGTAATTATAACCTTTGCAAGGATATAAATACCAAATCTATAGTGAAACACTATGTCTTAGCAAGGTAACTTTAGATCGAACAGTACAAGACATTAAATGTGCAAACACGACACAAGGCAATTATCTTTTCAAATATATGGAAGACTTTATTAGCTATTCTAAACACAAAACTAAGGTCTAAACATAATCACGCACACACACACATTCATACAGTTGCGAAAGGGAAAGAGTGAGTTGGAAAGAGTGAGAGAGAAGATTAGAAGAGAAGAAGAGAAGATTCTGAATAGTGAAGTCATGTTTCACTTTAGCTCTTAAAATTCAACAATTTTTTCACCTCTAGAGAGAACCAAACTTGACTAAACCTACATTAAACTGAAGATAAAAACAAATAGAATCAGAGGATAACTGTAAATCAGTTATTTATTTATTTTTTAACATCTTTAACATCTTAACATAAACATCTAAGGAGCAACATCCCTCTGAGCATCAACAAGGAAAGCACAACTACAGAACAGAAGAGCAGAAATCATCCAACAACTTCAATCAACAAACAGAGCTAAGTTAGCAACAGAGCAGTGAGTGACAGTTGTGGCAGTTGAGAATGGAAGCAGCAGCGCCCCTCCCCCGACCCATCACATACCCACAGAAGATAAAGACAGCAAAAGACAAGAAAACATATAAAGGGCCGGTTCACATATCGCGTCTTTTGCGCGCCCAAGTTCGTTATTTCAAATGTACACTCTAAAAAATGCTGGGTTGTTTTAACCCAACTTTGGGTCAAATATGGACTAACCCAGCCGTTGGGTTAAATTTTTACATTACATTTTTAACCCAACATTTCAGGTTTGTCCATATTTGACCCAAAATTGGGTTAAAACAACCCAGCATTTTTTAGTGTGTAGGCGCACGGTATGCGCGCTCATAATGGAAGCGACGCGGTCGCGGTGCGACGCGCTCGTTTTTTCCAGGCGCGTCCGCGCCGCATCGAGATAAAAACATCTCAACTTTTCAGAATGCCGCAAGCGCACCGTAGGTCACGTGTCACGTCAACCAATCAGCTTCCTCGCCATTTTTGTTACCTCTTCTTAAAATATAATCAAACTGGTCCTTGTCCACTCTGAAATAGGCTTTGAACCTCCCATTGTCCAGGCGGAGTTCCTGAATCAGCTGGTGAAATTCCCCATGGTTCTTGCGTTTTTGTAGTATGGGGTGCACCCAAACACTGCGGCGTTTTTTTACTTTTCTGAGTAAATAAATCTTGTAACAGAGTTACAGCAAAGGTTTTTTGGTGGTGGAAATCCATTGCTGAAATTTCCTTCATGTAATGGAGAGCGCAGCTGATGGTTGCTTAGCAACGACAGACGCCTCCGGAGTGCAACCGCCCTAGCGCTTCTTTGGAAAAAGGAGAACGCGTGCGCCTAGCGTTTTCTACGCGTTTTTAGGCGCGATATGTGAACGGCCCCAAACACAATCTACTCAAAAAAAACCCAGAGACTTTAATGGCTGACTGTTTTCAAAAAGGAGACAAGTCCACTATCACTGATCTAGTGCTCCACACAGAAAACTGCAAT